GACCTTTCGAGGGGAGATTGCCAAGTGAAAAGTGGGGGGGGAAGGTGCAGGTGCTCAAGTAACAGGTTTCAAGTGCACCCCGCCTCTGCATGTACCTGATTACCCTTCGCCTATGAGAATGCGTTGCATATATAAATAAATACTTTAGGTAAAGTAAACAGTCAATTGTTTCATGACATTGACGCAGGTGTTATACTGTTGCCATGTACACACTACTCATATCTGAACCCAGTGGTAGCTTTATAGTAAAACTCTTTATATTCTGGATGTGACTGTCAATAGAGACGCATCAAAAGTAGGGATTTTATTGTGTGTGAGACACAAGGAGTGATTGTAGCTCTCGCATCGCTACAGCTAAAAACTGTTGAGCGCTCTTTCACCCCGTCTAGTGTCTCACACACTCAGTAGCTACAATAATAGAAATCTTTCTTGACAACTGAAAGTCAGACATTGTCACATCTTCCGTTTGGGTGCACTTGCTGCCTGCATGATTAAAGAGTGTACTTGGATTAAAACAATGTGAGGTAACAGATCGTTCATTTACTGTCCTTCGGCTTGTTCCTATTTGGCTTATTAGGGAATAAATCCTCAATTTCTGGCCATATATTTCACACAGTGGATGCCCTTCCAGCTACAACCCAGCACTGAGACTCGTACTCTCTGAGCTGCGAAACACTTAACACACTCTCCCATTCCCACCCTACGTCCAATTTTAGTTCATCCAAACAATTTGCCTGTCCACGTGCACCCAATGGAAATTGTGCATCTCAAGCTTACTCACGCCCAGCTCCCAAACGATCGTATCTTTGTGTAGGCCAAAGTAATTGACCATCTCTCGTACTGTACCATCACATGGGCTTCGGAATCATGGAAGAGCACCAGTTCAAGTTGTCGCAGTCCTCAATGTCCATCCCTGAGGTGGTTACACAGCTTGTTTTGCCAGTTGATTCTGGTCACTTGCACCGCCGGACATTGACTGAGCATGTGGGGACAGATTCCATCCTTCATGAGCAACGCCGGCAGGCTGCAACTTTTTTGCTCCTACCCCTACATTGGAACACAAGGGTAGGGTAAACGCCCTTGCATAAATGTAGCCCAGTGATGTAGTGCCTGCTTCCCTGCCTGCTTCTTGAGCCTATCGCTGGCCACCTTGACTCTCACAAGCGGATCTGAAGAGTTAGCTTGGCGGAAGATTCATCTTACCTGGAATGATGGGATGTGCCGTGTGAGCGAAGAGATACAGAGACCGCCATTGCTGTTTCTGGCGTACAGCAGCCAATTCCAAGTCACCAGCCAGGCTCCGGAGTACGTCACCGGCTTCGCAGTGATAAACCAAGTAGAAGAGCCACGGGATGAAAAATTGCTTCAGGATTGAGACCTTTTGTGAAGGTTTGAGTAGCACCTTTCCAATGCACCCGCACCATTTCCTCAGAGACACTGCCAGGTCTGACATCCGTATGATCTGTATGCCATGGCCAATTAAGTTGTTGCAAAAAAACGTAAAGCATTGCACATTTGTAGACTCGAGGAGCGCGAGCGCAGTTTCAAGTTGAATATCAAGTCTGGTATGCGCAGTATTTTCGTTATTACTATATATTACTATAGTATTATCCCTATTTTTTGAAGCGAAGGTGAGCATAAATGTCAACATCATCCTACATATTCAAAGAATGATCTCTATAATTGGAATAAAATTATTCAACGAATGTGCGGTTCTGTCTAAACTTCAGTAATTGACTTTAAGGCCCAATCCTAATTCTACCCCTTAGCCCTTCCCCTTACCCCTCGTTTTGCGCATTCACGTTAAGGGGTAGGGGTGTCCCAATTCTTTTTAGCTTGAAGGCGTAGGGCTAAGGGGTGAATAGCCCTTTGAACAAAAATTTTTCAGGACCACACTTGAAACCAAGGGGTAAGAAAATTTCCAAGAATACACCAGCCACAACGGCAGCATGGCTGAACCCAGAAGTAAGGAGATCCACAAATTAGTATTTATTTTGTCATTATTATGAAGTTTTACGACAAATAAACATATGTTTTAATATATTTATAAGTGCGTTCATGTTTTACCATCATGCTTTTTAAAAAAAAAAAGCACAATTTTGCGATCTATAATTCCTAATCATAACCCCTGTATAGCAGTCCCACAACATTCTGACACTCGATGAAACACGAATACCCTGTCAGAAAAGTCTGGTAGCTGAGAATGAGCTTTTTACAGTGTCTGCTATAATGTTAGTGTTGTATTCGTGTGTTTACATAGATGAATATGGCCACTGTGTAAAAACACAGTACAGTCACGATCTTATTGCCACATGATATCGTTATGATAACATAATATATGGCTTCAGTGATTTCCTGAAGATAAATACCAAGAAATAACACAACTGGAATAACTACAGCAGTCGCGATCGTCTGATCTCATATGAAGCAAGAGCTCACGATGACATATGATGACGTGTGCTGTCCCAAATCTTAGGTGTAAATTTTGAAGCCCTTCCACTTCACACTCTGTTTTAAGGGCCAAGGGGAAAGGGTTGGGGTAAAAAAATAGATTTGGGATTGGGCCTAAAGCCTGATTTATACTTCTGCATCAAGTGAGCGGCGTAACCCACGGTGCATGCAACGCGCGTGGCTGTGCATTTATACTTCTGCGCGCTGTCTCTGTCGGTCTGCATTAACACTTCCGAAACGCTAGTTGGCAGTGAGGTGTAAATGTTCCTCTGTGTCGAGTTCCTTCGCTGCTTTTTTGCTTTTCCTGAACACTTCCGGGATGTACAAGTGGCTCAAACTCGCTCATTTTGAGGCAGGAACCGGCGGACGTGCAACAACTTTAACTATGAGGTAAACACAAAACAAAACTTTCCATCAGGAGCTCCTTCACGGGACTCCACACTTGTAAACAATCGCTCGCGCTATTCGCGCGGCTCTCGGTCCCGCCCAGACTCGTCAGCGCTACCAAGCCGACCAATCACAGAGCTTACGCTACGTGTCGTTGCGACGTGTAGTTACAATTTTTGAGAGGTGCACGTCAGTGACGGCCACGGCCTTAAGACTGCAGTTCATCTCGGCCAACATTCAGCCAAGCCCTGCTCTTTACTTCATTGAAACTCCTGAACACTCTGGCTTATATTCCTTTAACTCCTTTAACTCTGGCTTTTATTTATGGATATTTCTATTTATTGATTTTTCTGTACAGTGGTGACTGATATACTTCAGACATAAATTCACTGTTAAAATGTATAGTTTAAGAGTAATACTTGTTATTAAAAACATTTATTTAAAAAAATCTTACGTTTAATGATTGTTTCTTTATAGTGTAAAATAAAATGGTGTTTTATTTCCTTATATAAAGTGCAACAACGCTGAAATCAATAAAGTTAAAGGCAGTATGTTTATGTTTCTTTTTTAGAGGACATTTATGGGGAGGAAAACAATATTTTTTTTAGCAGTTTCCACTAAAGGACATCTGAGACCTTAATATTTAAATTATTTATGTTATATTTTATTTTGCCAGTTGTATGAAGTAAAACTTTAAAGATGTAACTTTCCTCCATAAAAATGATTTTTTTTTAGGCATTTACATGTTATCCATTCAGACAATATCAATTTATGGTCTTTGTTTTTTTTAATGGATTTTTGTTTTTAATCTTTCCTCCTTTTTTTTTGTTTGCCTTTTTGTTATAAACAAATTGAATAAGGTTTATACACTGATAAATTTAAGAGTTCATTATTTAAATAAAGCATTTATTTCTGCAACAACAAAAAATATATTTTAAATTTAAAATAAGTTATTTCCATTCTTCACTTTTTTCATTCTTTTTGTAAACCGATTCATTGAAATTTTTTTATTTAATACATCAAAATTACACATTTACGTTTAGTTAAAGTTTGGTAGTAAAAAATTGATATTGGTGACTTTGGAAATCTATAATTTATCTCCCAATATAATTCTGTCATCTCATTATTTGTAGTTTTTTTCTTTCACTCGAATATCCTATGGAAGCCTGTACTCGCCACTGAATAAAATAAATTAATACAAAAAAAATTATAAAGTCAGAATTGCAAGTTAAATCATTAAGTCAGAATTCAGAGTTATTAAGTCAAGTTATTAAGTTTGCAATTTTGACGTAATAACTCTGAATACTGCCGTTATAACTCGCAATTCTGACTTTATACCCCGGTTTCACAAACAAGGTTATAGGCTAGTCAAGATAAAATTGCATGTTTGAGCTGTCTCAACTCAATTAACTTGCGGAGAGGTGTCTTAAAATTTGTCAGTGTCATTTTTTTGTCTCCAGGTGCACACTAGTATTATTTTTCTATGGCCATTTTAATAAATGTGTCTTAAATAGCCTAATTTAACTAAGGCCTAGCTTAACTGGCTTAACCTAAGCCCTGTTTGTGAAACTGGGCCCATAACTCGCAATTCTGACTTAATAAATCGCAATTCTGACTTTATAACTCGCAAATCTGACTTAACTCTGGATTCTGACTTAATAACACGCAATTCTGACTTTATAACTCTGAACTCTGACTTAACTCTGAATTTTGACTTAATAACTCTGAATTCTGACTTAATAACATGCAATTCTGACTTAATAAATCTGAATTTTGACTTAATAACTCTGAATTCTGACTTAAAAACATGCAATTCTGACTTAATAACATGCAATTCTGACTATAACTCGCAAATCTGACTTTACTCTGCATTCTGACTTAATAACTTTGAATTCTGACTTAATAACTCGCAATTCTGACTTAATAACTCTGAATTCTGATTTTGTAACTCCGAATTGTGACTTTATATCTTAGAATTCTGACATTATAACTCACAATTCTTACTTCATAACTCACATTTGACTTTATAACTGGCAATTCTGACTTTAGCTCAGATTTCTGACTTTACAACTCAGAACTCCGACTTTCTTATTTTTTTTTTTACATTGTATGTTTTTATTCAGTGGTGGGAACGGGCTTCCATAAATGTCTTTATAGCGTGTAAGACTTTTATTTTGGTGTGGGTGTGTGCCGTCATACAATCGCGCCGTAATACCGCTTAGCGGTCCAACAAAACAAAAGGTTTGTGCGTGAAACAAATATATATTCAAGTTATACTCGCTTCAACAATAAATGCTAAAACAATAACCTTCATTAAAATGCAATAGTTTATCTAACGTTTACCTTAGAAGCACACTCAAAAGGGGCGCGTCTCATTTGTCGGTCTTGAATCTGTTAGTAAACATTCAGTCACTGACGAGTGGAGATGAGGAAAACGGAGCTTTACAAACTTCGAGTCGTTTCCATTTTATACAATTGTTTGGTGCTGATGTACTTAAGTGTAATTTGTATTCTCTATGTGTTTGTTTAATCTACTCGGGTGATTTAAGTCAATCGTCTCTCCCTCAGTCTGACTCCCTCAGTAGTGCACTGAATAGTAAACCAGACAGCAGATTAAGTGTGTATCTATTTTATTTCTGTACATTGTTCTCATTTTATACAGGACAAAGTGTTCAAACACAGAGGAAAACTCCTGCTGAAGCGACTGATCTCCACACTGTTATAAAGATGGCGTTTATTAAAGAGGAGAGTGAAGACCTGAAGATTGAAGACACATTCACAGTCAAACATGAAGATCCAGAGGAACAAACAGGTTGGTTTTCTTTCTCAAAGATCAACATTTGATGAAATGTCTGCTTTTGCAGCAGGTCACATGGTGAATTAGAGAAAAAAAAGGTGAAAATAGTTGCTGTTGTGAAAAACATTTGACGTCTCTATTGAATGCTGATCAAATTCACCATATTCAGTGATTTGGGTCTGCATTGATGCAGTGTGATGTTGGCATGGGCCGGTATAAGATTCTGAAGGTATGATATCCTTGGATAAAAATATCACTGTTCGACGGTATCTTTTTTTTATTTTATTTTTTTAGAATATGCAAAAATCATACAAATACAAGAAAACGTCAACAAATACAAAGCAACGAAACAAAACAAAAACAACAACAATATAGTCATGTACTGGTATGTGTGTGTGTGTGAGCGTGTGTATGCATGTAAAGGTAACTTGGTGGACAGGTCAGAGTACATACATAAGGAACAATAACAGTCAATAAATGAAGCAAGTGTCACAGATATAGATAAAACATACAGAAAGAAACCAGTCAGAGGTAGGGAGTAACAACAATGCTTATTAATGTATGATAGTAGAAATTTGAGTAAAAAGAAAGAAAGGACAACAGTAATAACTGACAACAATAATAATAAATCACAAGTGCTACACCAACTACTACTACAAAAAGTTACTTATATTACAACTACTACTGCTTCTACTACAGCCACAACCACGACTACTACTACTACAAAGTCTACTAATACTGATACTACTACAACGACTACCACTACTGATACTACTATAGCGTTTGCTACAACTAATACAACAACGTCTACTGCTACTACTACTACTACTACTACTGCTACTACCACCACCACAATCACTTCCACTACCTCTACATCAACAACATCTACTACTGATATTTACTACACCAACAACTACTACTACTACTACTGTAACTACCACACCATTACTACTTCTGCTACTACTTACATGAACTACTACTTCAAAAATCTCCGTAACAATTACTCAATAACAATCGATACTATTACACTGTCTACTACTTCAACTACAACTACTACTACTACAACTACTACCGCTACAACTGCAACCTTAATAATGATAATGGTATAAATACTTGTAATAATGATAATGGAAAGATAACAGGACAAGTCAGAACAGTAATAATAATAATAATAATGATTTCAAAAAATAAAAGTAATACCATTTATGACAAAGGTGTCGAGGAGAGGGGAGGATGGGAAATCAGGGAGAGGACAAGTAATAATAATAATATATAATAATAATAACAAATAATAGTAGTAGTAAGTAGAAGGGGAGATAGAGGAAAAGAGAAAATAAACTAATGATGTTCGACGGTATCTTGATTACTGCTCTGAAATACATTCTTTTTAAATGTCAGGGTTTCTACAGGTTTCATCACGTCAAATTTTTAACACCGTTATCAATGAAATTTCAGACTATCAGAGGGCAAAACGCTAATCATTTTCTGTAATAATCAGTGAAATTGTTTTACTTGCCCTATTAAAATTAAAACTCAGTTATTTCTTTGCCACATATTTTAAATAACGTGTCAAAACAAGCAAACTCCAGTTATATACAGTACATATATTTTTTATCAGCACAACCTTTCTTTAAAAAGGTTTTAAAAGCTATAACCAACAAAATTCATGCAAAACAATGCAGAAGTAATTTTTTCTCCTGTTCAGTAAAATATTTTCAGAATTCTGAGGTCTAAATTAGGGTTAAGACTTATTTTGAGGGTAACTTTACCTTTAACTTCTAGATTATTTTAAAATGCTACATAAAAAACGATGTTTTTGCTGTCATTTATTTAATCGACACTCACAATGAGACAAATCTAAAGGTCTTCTGAAAATCAAAGCCAAACAGATTATTTCTCATGAGCGCAATGCAGCGTAAACAATATTAAAGACCATCAGAATGTCTCAAAGTTTTCAAAGCTGTAATAAACAACATTTACGCACAACATAAATGTATGCATGAAAACACGGAGAACTTTTAAACAAATGTTTTTGTAAGCATGTAAGGAAGACAACGAAACCATATTGCTAAATCGTTAATAAAATGTCAATGTTGTTAAACGTTTTTTTTAGATGGATTTGTTGGTTGTACTGATTGACTATAGCTTTACATTCAGAATTAGTGAAAATATAGGACCTGTTTAAAATTATTTAAGACCCACAACAGCATATTTATGTGAATTATTTTTATTTTTGTCTTTATGGTAAGGCCTTCAATTTAGTTTGTAAAATTTAAGACCCTGCGGACACCCTGAAAAAAAAACGAAAACGTTTTTCCCACAATATATTTTATTTATAGAAACAGGAATATTGTGGAGCAGTTAACTAGGGCTGGGCGATTTTTTCGATTAATTCGAGTTTACATTTTAAGACGATTTAATTTTGAATCAAATCGAGAAATCGTGATTTTTAAATATATATATATTTAATACTTTATAATGGCACCAATGCGCTTTGGTTCACTCTGAAGCAGGAAGCACACCAGAAGCGCCTCTCGGCGCCGCGCAGCACCACACAGCGCCATGGATTTTAGAATTCTAAACAGGTTCTAAACACACTGGCGCCGCCCAGCCACGAGTCACGACGCAGTTCATATGTCAGCCGCGCCACAGAGCGCCATCTGATTAGTTTCATGTTAAATATCATGCGAATGTGCGCGTTTGGTGTGTGATAGTTTAAACTGTCATGTGCGCTGTATCGCGGCGCTTCTGGTGTGCGACCTGCTTAACTGTCTGTTAAAGCGTGAAGTCATGTAGGATTTTACTTGTTGCATTAGTCTGAGTCACGTCTGCGTGGATTGTCAAGACATTCCCGCATCAAGTCGATAACTCACACTCCACACACTCATCATCGTCATCCAGATTTCATAACCCTTTCTCATGTAATCATGGTCCCATTCGGTATCTCCTTCACTTTCATAAATTAATTTGTGAGCCCGTTTTAGCACATGGGGGTCAAATGACCCACCTCTAGGGTAGGGACGCATCGCTTGTGCCTCAGTCCACCCTGCTAGATTATCTAACCATGGATTAGTGTAATATCCCCACCCACATCGATACATCCAATCTTTAGGGCCTTCCCCTATCTCAGGCTTGGTGTATGAACCACCCATGTTAGTAAATACTTACTAGAAAACACACAGAATGATCGTTTTACTTTTGTATAGCGCGCTCTTCTTGGCTTTTCAGGGAAAATCCCAGCCAAGGATTACTCAGTTCAGTAATGAAGCTTATCAGGTAGTCAAAGCCAAATTCATGTCTTACCTGATCAGCTTCATCACGTCGGGGGTCACCAAGTTGTTGGGATAAATTGCAGATCGTCTGTGTATTTCCTCAGTAAGCTGGAGCTCCAGGAAGGCAACAACAACTGAGAGATGTGAATCCAACAGTTTATTGCTCTCTTCTAAAGAAGTCTGGGGTATTCCCAGCTTTTATACATCATACTCAGGGTTACATGGGCTATGAATACGTGCAAATATTCAGCTCAGTTAGGCAGAACAATTTTATCCATTGCTCAAGAATGTCAAGGCGCAACGTCAAGGCGTTTAGTACAGGGTCAACTTACAATAAGATAAGACACAGTTAGAAAACAGAGTATTTGAAGAGTGACTGCATGGATATTTCTTTCACTCGATCTCAACATGTATGAAGGACGTAAAAGCCTGCCATGTGAAAAAACGCGCCGATCTTTTGGTTTGAACACGAGAAGAGGTGAGGGACTGTAGCAGTGAAAATGGAAGTACCCACCCCCATGACGTCATTTAGCGGACCTAGTTGAAAACCAGCCAGATCAGCCAGCATAATAGAGAGTGGAGCAAAGCGCATCAAATTATCGGTGTTTAAAAGGGGAAAAAAGAAAAATAGATTAAATATATTAATTTATATCAGACACACATCTGGTGCTTGTATTTGCTCCTGCTATACGTCCACAACTTCACACATTGGGTTAAATTAGGCTTTACAGTTTCCATGTTCAGTCCTTTTCTTCCACTGTATCTTTTTAAGAAAAAGGCCAATCTTTCCCAGGCTCAGCAAAACTTGCAAAAAAATACCTCTGTATTCCTGCAACTGCAATATTTACACAAAGATTTCTTATTCAGATCTTCAGCAACGCTATTTAACTCGTGAATTTGTTTTACATTTGTTTAAATCTTGACCGATTTTTGTATGACATGGCCATTAAAAATACAAAGTTCCTCAACCAGATGCTTTTTCAAGTTACTTTTAAAGAGAGTGTTACTTCCGTCATGTTGTTGTAATGTTTTGAGAAGACTAGTGACACAATAAAAAAAAATCGAAATCGTGAATCGGTCGAACTTTATAAAAAAACCTAGATTTTTTTTTTTTTTGCCAAATCGCCCAGCCCTACAGAAAACATGTCAGGCTGCTGTCTTCATTAGTCTTACAAACACAGATTTGTTAATTTATAATAGCATCTTGGATATTTTTTGCTGCAGGCGATACTGTTTGCCTAAAAAACTGGGGAAAAAATGTAAATAAAAAATCTTACCCATACCTCTGGTACAGTAAAGCGGAAAATGATTAAAACCTTGACTTTTCCAATATACCTTGAAAACGGTTATCGTCACATGCCTAGTGTGATGCAACACAACGAGTGAAAGGGTTTCCACAAAATTAATCAACCATATAACTCTTTTCTAGGGATGTAACAATATTGTAAATACCGTCATACCGCAATAGTAATTTTTTTCAATATTACCGTAGGCGCATGACTCAATAAAACTATATTTCTGAGAAAAGTTTGCTCAGGCGAATGAAGCGAACGGGAGGTAGCGGGAACTACAATTTCCATCAGCCTAGGCGTGGCCATCATCCTTTGCGGTCTGTTGTCACTACAGATCCAGTAATGCGGAAATGGAGTGTGCTGCTAGTAGCGGTGAAGAAAAAGAGCTGGAAATGATCGGACCTAAAGTGGGTTTTAAATCGGATGTGTGGAAGCATTTTGGTTTCTTTCT